TGCTAACGTTGCAGGTGGAAAAAATTTTGCTAAGAATTTTTTAGCCAAGTTATCCCAAGTAGTAATGGAACTAGCAGGAAATGAATTTAACCAACTCTTTGCTTTATCTCTTAATGAAAAAGGGCAAAGCCTCAATCTTACGGCATCATCAGAAACACCATTAGCCTTGAATGCATCGTAAATTTCCAAAAAATTTACAATATGAGCATTTGGATCATCATTAGGCAAACCCACAAACTGAATAACAGTCTGAATCATTTGAATTATTGATGGCTTAATTTCAAAGTTGTTGGCTTCAATAAGAAGTCTTCAGTTACTAGAGTGGAGATTTTGTACTCGTGGGACAGCATAATCCTTCAAAGGCTTGGTCTCTTCTTTTTGTTGATCAGTCATTGTTTTACTTGGAGTAAAAACTTTTTTTATTTTTCTTTCGAAATCTTTGAAAAGTGTTTTCGATTTCTGGATCAAAAGGAACAATTTCTAAATTTCAAACTTTTCACAAATAATGACCCAAAGTATGTAAAAAAAATAATAAAAAAATAAAAAATAAAAGAAAAGAAAAGTCTAGATTTAAATTAAGAATGCTTGGTATTAATATTAACAAAAAAGAGCTAAAAATCAATTCCCAATAACGGCACCAAAAACTTGTTGTACAATTTTTTACTCACTCAACTACACATATCGCAAAGTTAATATAAAGATGAGTAGACTGGCGATCTCATAAAGAATTAAATTAATCCTTATTGTTAACTACTAAAATTAACACGCTTTAATTTTATCTAAATAATTAAAATTAAAAAAAAATTAAATTAATAAACTAATAATTAAAATTAATTTAGTAGTAAATTTTATTTCTAGTGATTAACAGACCTAAGATTATTATATCTCTCAATATTTCATTTGATTATTGTCTCTTTTTCTCAACTTAGTTTTATGGATTAAGTTGCTAACCTAGATTCTTAAATTATTTACAAATCTCTGTCAAGTTTATTATAAAAATACCTCTCCTAATTAATGTACTATATGTCTATGTAAATTATATTGAAGAAAGATTCATTAAGTTTGTGCTCTAATCTTGGCTACGTATGGCTAATAGGTGTATGTCTACCCTATAAGCAAATCAAACCACCTAATCAACTAAGTGTATTCGATCATATGTTGTTCTATTCAAGGTCTACCTAAATCTCTTTCGTCAATGTTTAACCTAGGTTTTCAATTTAATTTAATTGGTGGCCTGTCAACTAAAAGCATTAAGAATATAATAAAATAAACAACTTAAATTTATCAAACATAAGTAAAAAAGAAATAAATAATTCAGACTACATATTGAGTTCAATCATAATCTTAGATAAAAAGT